CACAACCCCATCACTGCACTCATCAGTGACTCTCGACGGAACGATGACTAATTTTCATGGCACGTGTGATGCGTGGATGGCGCGTCATCATTAGAATACTGCATGACGCAAAATGCAGATCAACTAATGGATCCTAACAACGTTGATGCTCTGATAAGAACATCATTAGACCTCCGAGTAATGGAATTGAAAGAACCGAGAGTGAACTAACCGAAACACAAATTTCAGGTCAGTCCATCAGAAACCTCTTGCCGATCAGATATTATCAAAGCCAGTAGTAGTTTTAGGGACTCTAACTCTAGCTTATACGACTGGTACGTTAAACTTGAATTGATTGAAGCACAACTGTCGCTACCTTGAAAGACTCACCCCCAAGAATGAAAGTATCTCAGGAAAGTTCACTTCTATTCAGCCAGATGAAAAACAGACCGATTTGGGTTGTTCACTTAGCCCTTTTCATCCCGCGGAAGAGACTGTAGTTCTCACTCATCTTGAGCAGAAGTAGAATCGTTGAGCGGCGTACTGCGATCTCGGGCAAATGTGGAATCAGTCAAAGTGATGAATTGGAACCCATTTTTAATATAAGTAGCATGGGGCACTTTCTCACAATCCACAGACACCCCCCACCGTTTTCATCCTGTTCGGAACTCATCAAGCAGGTGTAGTCCAAGGAAGCCAACGAAATCAGTCCTTGATTCGAACAGCGGTCAAGTTGACTGTTCACTTTTAAACTCATGTAGGTGGTGAAACTATCGGAGATGAAGTCTCCGTGTAGTCCGTCGTAGTCAATAGTATACTGTTATTCTTTTTCACAATTTGCACTGGAATCCCGGGATTGGCTACGTGCCACACATTATGCAAAAGAGTTGCAGTTGGCTGTTAACTACTAGAGACTTCACTGAGTCCTCAGCACCTCATCATAACCTCAATTCAAAAGATTCCTATGCATGCTGATACCTATGGGAAGAACACTGAGAGTTCTATCCGGCATCTAGCATTTTATAGGCCATACATGAGTTTTTGCTTTTAGATTCATTGGTAGAAAATTTCCTTCAGACATTTTTTCTCATACCTGTATACTTTTTCAGGGAAAAGAAGGAGACATTAAGGGGGCCCGTTTCTACTGTACTCTATGGGTACGCTGTAATCCTAAATTGCTCTGGGGGCGGGAAGGCTCAGTGGTAAGAGCGGGACTACAAGATCCATGGTTCGAACCCTACTTGTGCCTCTCGGCTTCCCCTGTCTAGGCTGGGGCAACCTGACAGTATCCGCAGCCCTCGTGCTTCCTTCGGGTGGTATGGCAGCTAGACACCGAAGGGCCGCTACAACTGAACGATGTTTTTTTTCTAAATTACTCTGACCAAGGCTCAAAGGGTGATTCCCACCATAAGTGTACCTGACGCGAATCGACGGGTGATACAGTGGGCCAGTAGACATTAACTCGAGCGCTAAATGGCATATCAGCAACCCTGATTTACGTACGCACTTGGGTGCGTAACCGTTCCTTGATAGGTAACCTCGTCTAGTAGGTGGATACTTAGATGCCTTGCTTTCGAAACCGTATAACATTAGCAAGACAGTTCCTAACAAAATCAGAGGTTTGTTGGACCTTCAACAGTTGTTCGCAAGAAAATTCTGAACGAACTACGTTGTTGGTCTGCATTGGACTCAAACAAAGACCAAGAGAGATAAAGGATGCACGACAAAATGAAAACAAAATCCGACTTTAGTCTGCCTAGGTAAGAATCATCAACATTGTTCTATACGCTTCACTAAGTCCGGGTATCGGAGTTCCCCTTACTCGTTCATTGTCTATTTTAGAGTTAGGTGGCCTCGCATAATCATCATCATTGACAAAAACATCAAATAAGGACTATGGTACTATAGCACTACCATATAACTGTGTTGACTAATTTCAATAAAGCATTATCATAGAAAGAAGAAAAAATTGGACAGGGGTGGGGACCTATGGCTAGCCAAATAGAAATGTTGGGGATGCATAGACCTCAAACACTCATCTGGATAGAAGATGACAGCATGAACTTCACTTATCTCGGTTAGCCGCCATAACGTTCGGTGTCTCCAGCAAAGTACAGAGAGAGTCACGTGGACCCCGCCGTGAAAGGTAGACAGCACCAATAGCACCTGAATTTTCGTGACATCCTCTATTCCCTTGGGCTATATCAAAATCGGTCCACCTCAAGCAGCACCTATGCACAATCATTTATGCCCAAGTGTGTACCACTAATGCCAATTCGAACTGAGGAAGGGACTCATTAGGGTTTTTTCCCACCCCTGCAGTCTAGGAAGTTTCACGAAGTAGGGTGACGCCCCCTATATTTTTAGTTCATAAGCATTGGTTGAACCGCCCTTTTGGAAGGACACTTATCAGGTTTGTGTCTGCATTTCAATAAGAGAAAAAAAGTTTCTGTGGCAGACTAATTTTGTGTGGCAATTTCACTTTGTTCATAATATCCACAATGGTCCAAAAACCTACAATCAAGAAGTACATCAAGTTCCCGGCTGATAATTCTTAAAACCAAAGCTGAAAAATCGTCACCCGCTGCTTGGTGAGCACAAACCTTGCAAAACTTCGCTTTTGGTATTACGGAACGAAGTAATCAATCGGAAAGTGGCATGATTTTGTTGTTGCGTTATCGCTACAGAACTAATCTGATTTGACTGTGGAATGTTGTTTAAGAAACCCCGTATGAACCTCATACGTTTTTGGATTGTGGAAAAGGGTTTTTATTCTCCCCGGACCATATGCCAAATAACGTGGTATTTGGTGAGAGTATACGGTAAGCCCAACAGTCACACCATATGTGAGCGTTTGTTTTCCCCACGAGTAGTTCGTCGGCAACTTCACCAAGTGAATTCGTCAAAGCTAGCAGCAAACTTCCCATGTCATCCTCGTTTACAACACCAACTAGCTGTTTCGAAAGCTGAAAGGTCACCACAACGGATAGAATTCAGATCATAGAGTAAACGACTCGGACGTACCGAAACAAAATTCCAGTAAAAGCATGTGGCAAGCCCTCACAATCGTTAGTTTGTGTGTTACAACTCCGCTAAACCACTCGGTGAGGAAGGCGTTCTCATCTAAACAGCGAATATTGTTTATCAATACGACCACACCTGAAAAAAGCAGGTCCGGTCACTTAATTTGATTGAGTTGCAGAACTTATCATGCTTACTTCAATTGGCCATAGACAGACAGCTAATGTATTCCAATGGAAGCTGTTGAAGATATTCAACAGCAGAGGCAGGCTTCTAACAATCAAAACGGAATTTGAGCAGGAAAGTTGGTGTTGTGACGAGCCTTGTGTCTCACCACAATCAAAGACGGTTGAACCGAACACACACACAGTCGAATGAAATTTCCCTCAAGTTGCAGCCCGTTCCATGGCTCTTGGTTTCACAGACTGCACGGTTTTTCAGTGACCGTGGATAGCCATTTTCTACAGACGCTTCATCTAAGAATTTTATTTCATCTTGAAAGTGAACTATCGGGTTCTGTGGTTTGTGGTAAACTGGCTAAACAGGGCGCTGAAGCGGTAAATAATCTAACTACATGATTATCAGGTAGCCGATTGTTATTCTAGCGCGCAGATTTGGCGGGTCGGAAGGTTATCAGATGGCCGATTGTTATTCTCAGTTTAGTGCGAACTTCTAGCGCGCAGATTTGGCGGGTCGGAAGCCCCACCTCGTGGAGGATCGATGGGATTATACCGCACTGTACTAAGTAGCAATGAAGCGTACTTGTTCTTTGACCAGTTGTACCACCGTCTTGGTCACAGGTTTCTGATCAGAGGTCGTTTTGTCAGCTCGCACTAACATTTTTTTCCAAAGGCTAGAATCGATTTTGTAAGCACCGGCTCGTGTATGAAACAAACTTGACCGCCCACATTTCTGATGTCGGATGGCATAAAAACACATTTTTTTTCGACCATAGTGTGTGTGAATTTATTGCTTGACTAGTCCTCCTAGTCATGGTGGCTTATTGGAACAGAATCAAGCTTCTCGGGCCAGCTCACGCGATGGCTTGAAAACCAAGTCCAAGTGGTGAAAAGCTAGCCCGTGTAGCTCATTGTCGTCAGCCTGTTTGACCCGGGGTTCGCCAAGTTAGCGCCGCAACTCAAGCTCTATCTCGTTGGTCTAAAAAGGGACACTCGTAAGAAGTCTAATTAATAGCCTAAGTGTACGATGAATGAACACGCCGGCCATGCTACATAGGTGTTACTCCGTAAGGTGTAGTCGCAGTGTCCAAATAGAAAAAAAATTCTGTTATTATTGGAAAACGCCTGAAATATTATGATATTATTTTAGAAAATGAATAGTGGAAATCAGTGAAATCAATCAGCATGGGAGTTGGAAGGAGCCTGTGCTCAAAACTTGTCCCTAAGACAGAGGCAGTAACAATTTGCACAAGGGAACACAAAGATGAACGGGAGCATCGTTAGAAAAACAGAAATTCCGTCATGCTGGGCTTGCTGATGCTACTTTCCAATCGGCAGAAGATGAAGAAAAAATTATGAATTTACCCAAAGACTGTGGCTTTTTCAAGAAGGCCTGTAAGGTACAGGAGATTTGGGGGCGCTTCAGTATTCGGCAACAAAGTCGAGCGGTATACGCACAAAACAGCCTCGGCATTTGCAAGGCAATTGTGAACAACTTGCGTTGCGCATCCCAAACCCTTGAGGGCAGATTAAACTGACCCCAAAAGCAAATTGTGTCTGTGGAGCAGATACTTGGGTGACGGCATTTTCTGTGGACTTATTGGATTACGAGAGCACTTGCGCTCAGAAGAGTTTAAGAGTGATACGAATTTCTAGCGAGTAGGACACTTTGCGTGAAAATGGGAAGCCTGTTTTGCATTTAAATGTCGCCTATAAGTTGATGATTCTTTTTATTATGGCGATGATGCCTCCGTCGGACTGCAATTCACCAAAATAAGTCTGTTCGCAGATAGTGGGTGTGTAACTTCACAAACGAGGGATTCAGCTGGGTTCCAGGTGAGTCCCTCGAAAAATCAAATTAGTTTGCAAATGAGTGTATTTCGCTAATTTCGTGCAATTTGATTTCAAGTAGAACATAAGGTTGACGGAAACTCTGGGACTGCGCCTACCTGATGAGTCCCAAGAAGGGCGAAACTGATCGTGGGCTGTTGACGAATTTTCAGCAACCTTATGAGTAGTGCGTTAGAAATATACATGTATCGCCATATCTCGAATATCGTAGGGACTGAAACATGAGGCAGTCTGGTGCAGCACATTCAGTTGCTCGGAAACATCACAAACGAGAGATTCAGCTGGGTTACAGTTGAGTCTCTCGCAAAACCAAATTTGTTTGAAAATGTGTGTATTTCGCTAAAAAGAGTATTTGAGTCCATCACCAAGAGACTTGTGATTGTGATACATCTGTGAAGCCATAAATTATTTTCTAACCTCGAATAGCACTGACGTAGACTATAGCTATTGAGTGAACACGATTCCCAAGTTGTTGAAGCTGAGGAGGAGTCATACGGCAACCCTAGTCTCCTGCACTGATGTACCAGCCTCATCGTGACACTTCCAGAGAATGAGTGTGAACTGCTTCAAGATGAATTGACCGAAAGTATTCCTGTATTTACCCATCGCTCATTTGGTGCTCCCCCAATTACACTATTTTGGGAACACATCATATTTTCTCCTACTATATGGGGGATGTAAGACAAATCTTGTCTTGCCTGAATTAAAGAACGCACGTTTTTTGGACTGCATCGAAAGGGAACAGCCCAATTTATTTTGTTTCGATTTCCTGTTTCACATAATTTTGGATGATGTTGATAGTACATACCACGACAAAAGCAATGTCTGTGCAAAATTTACAGGACATAATTGTTCGGATCTCATAGTTGTAGTATGGGTGCTAAAATGTCGGCTGAATTCAGGCCCTTGTGATGTGGTGTGATTAGCTTGCACTGAGCTTCCAAAATTCCTATCCAAGCGTGAGCCGATCAGCAACTCGTGGCCGAACGGTTATGTGCCAAAGCTCCTAACCCGGAGATTGCGGATTCGAAACTTCCTTGAGTTTCATTAGATACTCAAGGAGGAAACAGCCAAGTAGTGCTTTCCGGTGTTCACTTGAAAAGCGAAGTCTCGATTACACATTTCCACTCCATCAACTGCCAAATACAACCTCATTTGTTTATATGACCCGGTTTATTTCGGTAATGCAAAGCCATTTGTCCATCTGGGAGCCTGGACATTTTGGAAAGCTAAAGTTCCTGCTCACTTCTTGTTGAGAAAAATAGGAGGTGTAGATAAAAGCACGCGAATAATTCGGTGCAACTCACCTAGGAACTTACGGAAGTTGCCTTTAAAAACCAACCAAACTTTGTGATAAAAGCCGCATAAGTGCAGTGTAGGTTTCAACTTATACGCATGAGCCCACTACATGTGATCCTCTCGAAGCGAGGCCACCACTTCACAGAGTTTGCTAGGTTCTCCGCCTGAATTCGTTCAATCTAGGGGGATGGCGAAATGTCGATTTTCTGGTTTCGATTATCTTTGTGGTAAATCACTAGTAGTGAATCACTGAATGTGCATGAAACAGAAGTTCTTCCTTGATGAAGTTCCTATGAACATTTACGGTGATGAATGCAACTCCCCTAGCAAGATATCGACCAAAACAGTGACTGAAAGAGGAAATCTAAGAACCAGTTGAACTGCAGCGTATTTATTGTGGTCTACGTCATTCATTTGACAGAGGATGGTCATACATGTGTAGATTTCCAGACCACAGCCGAGTAGAATGAATATTGTAAGCTTCGAAAGAACACAGCAATTCAAGTGGATGCAAATACTGTGAAAGTTATGTGGATTGACTGATTAACTAGCCTCTTGATTGGTCGAGGTTCGGATGACCTTTGCTGGCTTGGTTTTGTGGTCACCTGAACGTCTGTCTAGTTTTCGGTCGAACCCACATCATGTGATCAAGATTGTGATTACGATTCATGTAAATGTCATTGTCGATTATCTGCATTCTTTGTACCACTTTGCACCAACCCACAAAAGCGACTTGGAAGGAAATGTTCTTCATCCACCATTTTCTGCTTTATACTCTACCGCGGGTGGCTTACCGGTGTGAATATGCTGATGACTTTCGCAGACAACTTGCTCTCGTGGGATTAACAACCGGATTGGATGGACTTGTTAAGTGGTTCCAAGAGTACTGTTTTTTCAATTTTTCATAATACCAGGACGTTATTTTTCACTGACCTTTAGGTGCGCATAATTATTGTCATGTCATCGCTTATAGTTAGTAATAGCTGTTTCCCAAGGTCCGGCCATGTGAAATAACTCGGTTTTACCCTAGCTGGTGAGCTCAGGTGGTCACAACTCTCTTTCTGTACTTTCAGATTAAGGACTTTATCCGTCAGGCCTAATTGACAAATTCTTTAACCCATCGGAATTTCGGTTCTCCAGTCATTTTCCCGGTCTTTTAGAGTAGGATTGCTACCTCGTAGTCGGGTCATTTAAGGTCTCCAGCTGGAGCGAAACCGCCAGTGTTTCTTGATGACTTTCATGGTTAGCAAACTCTTTAACTGTCTTAATAAATTTACTCATATCGCATAGTTAGCACTGTATTCCACATATTTTATTTCAGGGCCATGTAGACTTTTTGCAAACGGCTCAAGTGTAAACTTTCACTTTAGAACACTACCACACATCGGAATTCTGTGATTACCTTCATAGCCCGGTATCTTGTTAACCATGATTCCTTGACGCACCCTGACGTGCTTCAGCAATTTCTTTCGGACCGTATTCCTAGTAGTATGCGGATTAAGTCCGCACTTTTATATAGCTAAATTCATGTGTTGAAAATTCTTCTTTTAGATTAGCTAAAGTCGTCAGTAAGTTTGACTCCCAACCTGGGATAAGTGGCATAAGTTGCTTATTTTCCACCGCGGTTTTAGCTGCCACGAATGGGACGAGGTGAACTGCTAATCTCTTGCTTAACTAAGAAAGACAGGCTTGGCGCGCATCTTTCACCCAAGCCAAAGGGATACCACAAACGCTATACAGTAAGAGGCTAGCCTGCGGCCGTGGTGTAATAGAATCCTGTAAATCTGTACGATATCTGCCCGTAACCAGGTAAACTGCTCATGGGAGGGCGTACAAATAAGGAATTGTGACCGGCTCTTGGCATTTTGTCTATCCCCTGGTTTTTTCTACTTAAATAGATTTTGTGACAGAATGGCATAACTTTTCTTTGATTTATCGTAAACTGTGGAAATATTTGTATATCGTCCGATGTACTCCTGGATAGTGCCGATTAACTTTACGAGTTCTATTCTACTTTGAATTATTTCCAGTACTTTGAAGAGGATTTCTCAACTGAAATATCCGTTACTTATGAAATCATCGTCCGTTTGAGCAGACTGCCTATACATTACCCATAAGGTTCTTATCAGGTTCCCAGCTGGCCCAATATGATACCGTAGGGACTGTTAATAGCTCAGGACGCTCAGTTAGTGGTCGGGTTTTTCGCTGAGCTTGGCAGTTTTGTCGCTATTGTTCCCTAACGCACTGGTGCATCGCTGTACGACAACTCACCGGTGGTGTTGCTTGGACTAACGAACTGTTTGATCAACAGGGGACCGACTTCGTTTTCAGGTTAAAAATCTCAATCTCCCTAATATATGCAAACCAACGGTTAATTGATATCTACTAATTCACTTTCAGCTAAATGAAGGGCGTAACTGACTAGAATCAATTTTTTTCGTTCATTCCATCTTGGTTTCCTTTCACAGTTATCATGAACAACGTCACTGTCAGTCATGAGTAAAGTAAGCTTCATAAGCACGATGGACAAAGTTAAGTTCAATGAGAATGTAAAGCTCAAGTCTTTGTGGGCCGGGCGAAGTCTTTACTTAGTCTCTTCCCTCCATTTACAACTCTTGGAACAATAAAATTCAATATACGACGCGTCCATCGCATGCGCGCAACTATAGTCCCAAAGTCAGACAATGTCGTTGTCTGCAGTTTTACGTCACTTGTTGAGAAATAAAGTATATAGCGTGCGTAGGTTCCGATACACTGGCGGTATAGCTCTCACATCTGGCTGTCTGGCTGTCTAGCTTGCTGTCTGTCTGATGCGGGTTCGGCGACAGGCCACTTTTTTTAGCAATGTCTGGAAACTGTGACGCGCGCAAGCGCGTGGCATACAACTGCTCTACACACCGCTTCATCTGTTCAGACAAGCATACATGCGTAGACTAGCCATCGACTTTAACCATTTACGTCAGTCGCCGTATAAGCAGGACCTGCTCTACTCTGGTGTGATAAGGTCGGACAGAACATGCTTCATTCTTGTTTTTCAGGCCAAAAAACAACAATGCACTCTTTCCACTGATGGGCCGGAAGCTCTCGGTTACGTTTGCTTGTTTTGAAAAAAAATGAGGCATGCGTGAGTGAAGAGGCGTAGCGATNGCGCTCTTTCCACTGATGGGCCGGAAGGTCTCGGTTACGTTTGCTTGTTTTGAAAAAAAATGAGGCATGCGTGAGTGAAGAGGCGTAGCGATATTTTCACAACTGGCTGTTTAGACCATATCTCCATCAGACGACTGACTGCTAGTCTAAATGGTCGATCGATCGAACAATCGGGCAATTTAATTCCCCAGAAATTTCATCAGGATGTTGTAGATAAAATTATATACGTTCGTTATTTTAGCAAAGCAGTTGATACTAGGTCACTTCGGTCATGTTTTATCACCAGTTTCACTACAGCAAAAGAGCCAAAACCTAAAACTCAACTAGGTGTGTCCACCAACAAAGAGTAGCTATTGTGAATGTCGATTGAGAATCATCTATAAGTCGACACCAAAACAACCTCAATATTACGGCGGGTTAGGACCGAAAAGCGATAGGGATTTTAACGTTTCTAAGATTAAATCAAGTAGAACCCATAGGCATTGAGCAATTTGTAATAGTCTCGGTTAGAAGTAAGCAACCCTGACAGAATTTTACCAGCTTTTAGTCTCCAAGCGGTCTTGCTTACTTATACTTGCTGAAGAAAGTGTGTGAGGAACCTAACAACACCGAATTAGTTAACAGCAACAGTTAGGTTCCTATGGCGCCTCAGACGCTTGAGACGGCATTAAGCTTTATCTCGACCATGAAACGAACGTATGATACAGCTTTGGTCTGCGTTTGTATACTATTAGTAATATAGTAATCTTTCAGCCGATAAACCCTTTCGGTACCTAGGTGCCACGCCATCCGAACGAGGCACGAAGGCTGAGATACTGACAGGTTTCCCAAGCATAGACAGGGACACTTTAGGCTCTAAGTTTGGTTTCGAACCACAGACATTCTGCTCAGTGAGTTCGCGCCACAGTCACTGAGCTATTCCGAGCTCTGTTTTTGTATGCTGATCCGCAGCCACGACGTCATCCTTTTCAGAGTGAATGGATCTTACACGGCCGCTTAATTGCTGCGGTCTATTTTAGCAATCTACTGGTGACAGCCTACTTTCGAAATCAGGTTTCTGTACAACCATAATATTGTGTATCGAAAACTATTCGCCAAGTCACACAAAGAAGAAACTGCTTACTATTGATATACGTTTTAAAGTTGTTCGCGAGTTCGAAAGCGGATTCGAGCGTTTTTTTGGTTGTCTTCTTGGTTTGATTGCTTTCTGATTTTTGATCACGTGGTTCTTGGTCTGTACCTCAAGCGTAGTGACTGGCTTGCAGACTGTTCGTTGCCAGTGGAGGAAGTATTGTAAGGAGAAAGTTCGTTAGAATGGATATTTCAATAGGCACTCAATCCATTTCTCAGTGTCGAGGAATGTCAAAGTATTTATATATTCGAGCTCATCGCATATCGCTTCCCTGTGGACAAATGGGTATACCATGTACAACTGACAACGTACGCTATGAGCATCATCATCGTCACCTTTACTGACAGTGTTACCATCAAAGAACATTAGTGCTCCTTTGCCATTTATCCATGTCAATTCATTTGAACAAAGCCTTATAATGGAAAGATGAGGAGAGGAGGCCGAGATTAATGTAAGCCTAGCCTAAAGTAAACATCCGAGGTGTCTGTGTCTCGGACGGACAGCACGAGCAACACATAAACTTCTTGTAAAATTTTCCATTCCCTTCGGCCTTGTCATGTTCTGTCCATCACTACGTTTACGCTACATCGAATCAGGCACGGAAACAACACGTTTCTAGGTACGCGGTATCCTGGCATGCGGAACACATGGCCCAGCGAATTTAGCTTGCATTACTAGATACGTCCTTTGGTTGAAGTACTGTCTACTTCACCAAAACCCGGTCTAATTTCACCCCATTAGGATTCCAGCCGTAGCTATTAGACATCGGTGGTCAGAGAACTAGTGGTGTCCCAGATCCTCCGCTCGGAGTGGCCTAGTTTTGTGACCTTAGAACAACACCTCTCCTGTTGTAGTTTGATATACGCGAACTTTTAAACCCAGCGATATGCCCCCTGGCAACACAAGTGGTGCAACTTGGCAATCGCAATCCTGGACTTCACTTCGTCTCTCACACAGCCACCAGAGCTAATAAAACGTCCGATATGCACACGGTGTTTCACAACTTCTATTGTCATTCGAGAAATACACTAATTTGCAAACCAACTTGGTTTTCACGGGAGACTCAACTGAATCTCTCGTTTTCATTCAGCTGTAGGATGTCATAAACGAGAGATTCAGTTGAGTCTCTCGTGAAAACAAAATTGATTTGCAAATGAGTTTAATTCTCTAAAACGGTCCCATTCGGATTCAAGTAGAACATAAACCTGACGGAAACTCGGGAACTGTCTCTTCTTGATGAGCTCCAAGAAGGGCGAAACCGGTCGCGGACTGTTGAAGAGTTTTCAGCAACCTTGTGAGCGATTTCCCTTAAGAAACGTCTACCATCATTATTTGGATTTTTCAAGGTTAAGCGTCCCATAGCACGAGTTTTTACTGTATGGGAGCTGAACACATGCCGAAGGGCTGGATGAACTTGGCCAGGATATCTAGTGATGGCTGCACACCTTTTTAAAAAAATTAGAACAAGTTCGTCCGCATATTCGAGGTCAATCAACTTCTCTTTCAGAGGTTTTGGAAACCTTCCAATGTCAGCCCCATTAATTCGTCAATTACGATAGTAAACAAAAATGGAAAGGTTAGACCTTCTTGTTGAACACTAGTGCCTATAAGAAAGCATTTGGTGAACTACCAGTATACTCCCATCTATTAGTGTATGAATACAAACAGTACATACTATTCACGAACTTCAGCGGCCTACTCTGTTGCTCAAGCGTGTGGGAATTAACAAAACGGTCAGCGTAATCGAACGCAATCTTGGAGTCAAGGACCACTAAGATTTTAAGACGCACACAGTCATGCAGTTCCTGCAGTAATCGACTGAGTGTGAGGATTAGATCCACACAGACCCTTCCAGACCGGAACCCTGCTTGCTGTTCTCGGATCCCCTCTTCAAGCGGAACACCAAGCTAAAAGTGAGGAGTTACGCGTTTTGTCCGTTGTACAAGCGTTTGATGCATTCATGTTTGAATGACTAATCCCACCGAAAAAATTCCCCAAAAGTTAGGGAAGCAGACGGCATGCCATAAAAGCGATTCATCTGTATCTTGGAGTAATTAAGCGTCAATCCGTGTGAGCGTCACTCGATGGGTGAGTTCTAAACGCAACCTGGGGAGACGATTGTGTAAACCTAGTGAAAAGTACGTATGTTTGAAGCGTGAGAGTAGCTCATCAATCGCGTTTATGCCGTTGGACTGTACTACTTTCAACAGACAACTCTAAAAGTTATTGTAGGAACCTCTACGAAATGGTGACATAAGAGAGAATCCGTAGGCTACTGAGGTTGGAAACACATGAAAGCTGAGTTGTTCACGTTGTGGCTGTAAGGACAAAGAGTGCTGAAATATTTATCAGCTTATGCTTTAGAAGTTGATTAAGCATAATACGTATGGTATAGTGATAACAACAACATTATGATAATACGTACATTGCTGCGCATATGCCACGGTGCTGACTCCAGTATCAGCAGCGATGTGTCCAGTCCTCAACAGTCCTCACCAGGACTATGTTGGCAAGAGGTTGAGGTAGAGTGGTTACTTACACCTGTTATTCAAAATTTAGTCCACATTAGGTGATGAAGTAGAGAAGAAATCATGCCCATGTTCTTTCATTCTCTCCTGAGTTATCCGATGATTATCACTCATTTTCGAAATTTAGATGTGTTTCTAGGTGACTGATTTTTGGAACTGAGGTAACTAATCGGGAAGGATTAACCTTTCTATTGGGGCGTGCAAACCGGAATACCCTAAAATAATTAGGCTGAATTTGTAATCACTCTGATTGTCTCAAATGAAATTCGCGCTCGCGTTGTCTCGTTTTCATTTTGGGTGAGTTAAGATTATATGAAACTCTTTTGGTGGAGATAGAATAGGACTGGACAAGTATGGTATATGGCAAGAAGTAATGGAAGAAAGCGAATTATCACGTCATTGTACGACGTCTGGAGAAGTAACGAAGCCACCTTTACACGTAGCTTACTTCTTCCATTTTTCCCACACCAAGCTAATCTCCACAAGGGCCAACTACCCACTAACTAGACACACTCAAATCGCACTCAATACTGAACACCGATCATTTCACCAGGTCACTCCCTTGTGGGTCACTTCCAAACGATAATGTTCATCTAGCTCTAAAAAAAAGTGGCTTTCCGACAGCATTATTCTGCAGCATTTCCGCAGCTGTTCATCGTCAGTTGCCAACACACGTCCTTATATGTTGCCAGGACAGTAGAGGCAGCACTCTGAAGCCCGCTTGGATATTATTTTTCAGTAGAGACTACTTCTCTTTTTTCAGTAGTAAGAAAACGCAGATTGCTTGGCAGATTCTGGAAAGGCCATCGTATTAAGAGAGGCGAAGCAGTCTTCGCACTTTCGTTTGCAAAAGCATCTCTTAACGTGAATTGAAATTGCTGTAAAAGTTATCGGTGGATCTCTTCCAGTCGAGTGAAACTTTCGTGCCAACTTCGTCTAAACTGACCAAGTATACTTTTGAGCGCTATGAAAATTTCAAGTCGAAATTTTCAGTACTTCCGAAGTTAGGAGCAGTTTTCCAAGGCAGTGATCAGTATTTTCATTGCCATTAGTGGTGCTTCCTTGCCCAAATGACCGTGACTCTTAAAACATGGCTTTACCGCGTCAGTGGCGCCTGGTATTATTATATGTCAGTCACCCTCGAGTGACAACTCCTCGGGTAGAAGGTTCACTTGCTGTCAAAAGGAATCTTGGTAGGTCACTTGTAGGCCTCCACACCGATGCAATACCACGCACTGCCAACTTACTGCGAACTGATGACTGGCGAACAAATACTTGCCCACCTCAGTGAACGGAGCAAAGACCAGAAGGTCCACTTGTCATATGAAATGTTCTCTCTTCTTGGTTTCTTATGGTTAATCGCTAGTATAAGGAGACTTGGAAAGTCCACTCAAGGTTTAGTTTAAAAAGTGAAAACATTCTATGCCGAGAAAATTCGAGAAGCGTTGAGTAAATTTTAAAGTAAGCCCTTCATCCTCTAAATATCAAGTTACACCAGTGTCGAATGTCACTTTCGTTCACTTCCAATTTCGTCTAACTAAATGAGCAGCACCTGGATGAGTAGAATGTACTTGACATTCCGATCGTCAAACTTACGCAGCACACCAACTTAGTTATTGAGTTTCTACCAGTGTAATTATCGCGTCGTGTATAGAACCATAAGCCCAGTTGGCTAGTTCTACTTTTCGGATCGAAATCCAAGATTTACTCCTTAAATGTTTTGCAATCCGATTTCCTTGATGACTCGCTCTGTTTTCAATCCGTTGTCGGTTCGCTCAGTTTTTGGCACTCAGACCGCCGACGGCGACAATACTACGCTTGCGTCAGCTTTTGATTGTGAATGCGATCGTTATTCCACGCGCGCGCATACACACACCAGAAAAAAGCGCGCCACCCCATGAACCCTCTCATTTGCAGGTCGACCGTCTCTTGTGTCGTACACATTTGTTCCCAGTCGTCTCAAGAGACCAAATGAGGAGGCAGACGAAGCCCTGCTAGGATTATCCACCAGACCATGATGCTGTGCTTCCTGGTCAAGCCCACACACACCACCCGTCGTTGATGGGAATAATGGATGAACCAAAATTAATCACGCACCATCGCTAGTTTCCGTCGTCGCCGTCGTGCTAGCTGGCACAGTTTTTTTTCCGAACCAGTGGACCGTAATGAAAACAGTGGTTTCCGCAGCCAACAACGTTCCCAAAGCCTTCGCCTATAGGAATTTACAAAAAATAAAGCGGAATCAATGATGTCACGCAATCACTACTAACTATAAATCAGCTGGAACATGCAAGTAGACACACACGCACACACCGACACACGGGCGAACAATATTTTGCTCCGTCGACGTTATTCTTGTTCATCGATGTGTCTCACCACGTACGGTAGTCTGTTACGTGATTTCGATTCAAGTTTCTGTCTCGTCTTTGCTGCGGAGAATGGAATCATTGATGAGCGACCAGATATCTGGTGCACACCGCCAAGTGAGGAAGGTGGGAATGCGGGAGGGCAGATGCTGGTCAAACGCAAGATAGTTGTCTGCAGCTCCAAATTAGGAATGGAACGAAGTGGTCTTCTAGGACTACCAGTCATTGTGGTCACTGTGCTAGTGTTAGCTGGTATAGAAGCGAGACATAGCTACACGGAAACTGCGTTGAAGGTTTCTTCCACATAATGCATTTAAAGCTTAGAACGGTGTCATTTATCGCCTTTGAATCATTCAACACAAAATACCAAAGGAAAGATTGTAAATAAATAAGCTACCGCAATGAAAACTTGGTAGTAACCAATTTTGGACATTTACCGAGAACCTGTATAAACAAAGCGTTAATTAGTTAAAAAGCTATTCTATTTGGAGCAGCGGTATTGTTCCTGAATTGGTTTTGCTGGTCAACGCCAACCAGAAGAATGGTGTTTGTTGGTGTAGGTCTAGAGTTTGCTCTCAGGCAGGTCCAGCACCGTTGAAAAGCCAACGTCACTGTCGACTTGCCTCAACCTTACTTGGCAGTGGCAGTAAAGTGCGACTCACAGAGCTCAGGAGAGGTTTGAGATTTAGAGGGCGAGATGGCCCAGTGATTAGAGCGCGAATTTACTGACCGGATTGTCCGTGGTTCGAACCCGACCTCTGTCCCTCGACTTCCCCTGTCTAGGCTTGGGCAACCTGGTAGCATCTCAACCAGATGGCATGGCAGTTAGGCACCGAAAGGATGCTATAGAGATGCTATAGGAGATTTACTAATATACCATTCTGCTGTGGGACGGGGGTGGGTTCGACTAACAGCGCTTCTAGGTTGTAATCATGACAACGCATACAACGTCAATCAGTCTCACAACTTATACCACACGGTCTGATGTTAGTCTTTTTCCTTTAGGATAATAAAGCATACATCAGACGATATCATTTTACCTACGATGATATATAGTTCTACGCCACTCAAGTAACTACCAGTCCAAACGAGAGTATGAATATGATAAAGACCTGACATATATGCGTGCTACTTTTATGACATCGGTTCGATGACATTTGCCTGTTATTGATCACAGGTCCTTCCGAGTTACAACCCTTTGCATCGTAATTTGGTTTTGACAGAATACTTATCAAAATCCCAGATGAACCTCTCTTTCTTTCAACTGAACAGACTGTACAAAGGCTGCTCGTTGTGCTCAACTCGTACAATATTCGGGATATCACAGTGTGCTTTCTTGCATGAAACCATTCACGAATTTACTGAACGTGCTTCTACATCCCATCAACGGTTTCGCTCTTCTTCGGGCTCACCATGTAGGTGTGGCTCACTTGTTCCAAACAGAATGAAATTTCACTCACACATAACCTGAACGTATTGACGATCGTAGCGCATTTGCTTGTGAACAAAGTAGTTTAACTGAATGAGATAAATCTGACAGAATTAATGTGGATGCGAGTAGTCTCTAAACTATACTATGGAATGCGAGGATTTGTAATCTTGTGTTCTAGTCCATATAAAGTTAGAAAACCTGATGAGAAGTGTATCTTGAAGGATGATCTTTGGCGTATATTCCCCATGAGTTAGGCGCATTGCGTCAGGCACGGTTTGAAGTGCGTGAGATCATAAGAACTGCATAACAGATGAGTTCGACACTCTCGTACCGACTACAATGGTTGATCTACCAGCCGTGTTTAGATGGCAGTTATGAACAGGCATCGTGCCAACCCACTCATTCGTCCACAACAGTTGAAGATTTCGTTAGCTGATTCGTCGAATGCGGCGGAGTGATAATGCCATCTTTGACTTCGACTGAATGCCAAATGATACCATTCGTAAGGTTGCTGAAAAGTCTTTGGTAGCCCACGGCCGGTTACATCCTCTGCACTCCCGAGTTTCTATCTAGTTCTAGTTGAACCAAAATTGAATCCTAAACTCGTGAACTGTACCCATTTTCACACTTATCAGGATTCACCGGGGACACAACTGAACTCCTACTGTGATATTGCTCACTGTTTCCCGGAAGATATTGATCTAAAATTCCAAGTTTTTTTTTGTTTCACGTTTATTAATGAGATGCCTTTAAGGATTGAAATCAACTGTGATGATAACATAGTCTCTCGTTTCTTACTTCAGTCTCCAGACTGTCGGCGTCCGAGAAGATTCCCTGAACGCAATGAGTTAATATCAAAAGGTCAAGCTGTTCCTCAAGCGAATCGTTGTTCCCGTAGACAACTTCCCCACAGAGTGTCCCGACAGCCGGAAAAACGTATGCGGACAAAGCCCAAACCGAGCATATGTGAACACTACTCAGCTGAAGTCACATCCTCGAACACATTTCCCAATGGCCAAGGTGACGAACTGGTACATACCGGCTGCCGACGAACACCGTGGTTTGCCACACCCAGAGAGTGCAAATTCGACCACCAGTTGTGGTCTGCGTTCAGTAGCATGAACTTGTGCTCCAGTACGGAAGAGGAAGATCGCTTTCGGCGAAATTCACAAACTCTCGATTTCCTCTCCTCTCTCTCACCCACACTAAATATCATTCCACCACCAAATCACAACCCGTTCGCAAAGAATGAATCCGTGTGAATCAGTTTTGCTGTTCAACTTTGACCCGGTCACACGCTTGTGTACATAGAAACCAAAGCTCCCTTGAGTAGGATACTCTTTTGAACGGGATATTTTTCTCTAACCCTGTAAATATCTTCTTTGCTCATGGTTAACAATGTGTGCGGTTTTCGTGAAACGCTATTATTTATATGTGCGACTCTACCAGAAACGAATTGTTATTTAAGTGCACACGCATTCTCAGTCCCGTTTTTTTTTCGCTCAGCGTAAACTCCTTCCATGCTGACACCTCTTCAGTCCTTTCGCCCCAATATCCACGTCATTTTATCCGACATGTTACAATGCGTTGTCAAGTAAAGCTACCGATTCTGCCAAAGATGCAGGTAGCAACCGGTGATCATGATGAGTGAGGTTACTATTTTTCTTTTGTATTTTTGGGTCCAATTCATTCCGGAGTTGGAGTTCTAGCTACGAATGGACAGGCTCGAATCCACCACTGGCCCACGAACTTCGCATTCTGAAGCTTGTGCAAATTTTCGTACTGTAGTCCAATGAACTAGGTGTCAGAACTGAATGAATCACTTTTCAAGGGATATGAGGTTAATTTGGTCATTATAAATTCTGTACCAAATCGTAAAAAACAACCGTGGTGCTCCTGCTGCAGTGGTGTTCAGATTGTACCAAATATCTTAGAAGTTCATCACTCGACACCGTTGAAGCGAATCCTTGCTGCGTTGCGTCTAGGAAACTTCCTCTTTTATGATAATTCTGTATTCCGTGACACAAGAAAGTTACTCCCTAAAATACGTTTTATGATAAATGGGAAAAAAGAAGGGCTATCGGTTGGTTTTGATCCAGGAATGTCACGTAAAGGCGACCCTGGGAACCGATTCGAACTATCGGTCGTTTACTTAGCAAATTTTCTAGGTGCCATAAAGACCAGAAGGACACTTGCGAGAAAATACCTGTATGAATTTGNNNCACGGTTACTCTACTACTTATACATTAAGTAGCAACCTGACATTTAAGGCAAAAGGAAACACTGGTAACGATAGAAAGAAATGGGAGAGCCAAAAGACATATCGCGAAAAGGCCCGTCTCCGGGGGAAGAGACAATAGAGTTGAGTAAATCAGAATCTACAGGTACAGTGGAACACAGATGCGAGCGTCATCTTGGGGTAAAACGCCGTCACTGATAATGATCCAATTTCAGACAATCCCGGTCTACAGCAGCACTCCAGCCTGACGGGGAAGTGACTGGAGTAGACTACACGTAGGCAGTCTCGCAAATTCAGCCAGCAATACGTTAAAATTCCGACACTCCGCTTACAAGTCTGTCGGGACGTGCCCAGACAGGAAAAAAGCACACGTGCAGAGTGACGCATCTTCAAGGTCAACATCGGTTCGACACGTCCGGAAAGTAGGTGAGTTGGCGGCTCTCACCAAGCGGCTTAGCAATGTACGACCAGCGTAGTGGGCCTGAGAGGGCTCACGACCGGAACACCATCATTGGCTGTACAGAACGAACAAGTGAACGACCGTATTTGGCCATTTAGTCACTATATATTTGCGCAGAAGCTCTGTATGTTTTGTCTTGACAATACAGCCGTGCCCCGAGTTCCCTGTCTTCGCCCTATCGCGTAGTCTGGCCGGCTCAGTGCATGCGTAACCCACTAGACGGCCACCCACGATACAACACAGTCATGGCTCCCGCTTTACTTTTCCTTGTCAGTATATTCATCGTACTGAAGCGTATTTGAACTCAGTGACTGCCGCTGACCAAAAGCTACCTGAGTGAAGACGAGGAGGATCCATCAGGCTCGCAAAAGTCACTGCACGCCTAACCATAGCAGCTGTAGGAATTCAATTCGACGTTTACCTGCTGTCCCGATTGATTTTACCGGTTCTGCGTATCTGTTTGAGTCAGACGAAGAAGCATTAAGATAATACTGCTAGTAATAATAATAATCAAGATAATAGCATCGAGATCAGTACTAATTGCACTGACTCACACTGCGGCGTGAACTAGACAACACACCTTAGGGACTCATGAACGTTAAAACATAACGACTAAGCAACTATCCCACGCAGTTTGGTGTGGAAAAAATGTCTAATCAAGATCAAAGTGAAGGGATACACAATGAAAAGCATAGTGTAACGAATATGGTACGAAGAGACTGGATACAACCGTGGTTTACTCACCCTGGTAATTCACTGAGATGCATTGGGGACTCTACTTGTGATACTCACGGAGTCTCTCGTATAAGGCTGAACAATGGGCAGACGTCTGACTAACAAAGCATCCTGGTCCTACGGTTTCGGGGATGCGATATGTTCAGCAAGATTCCCACTGGAAAGATGCTGTATGGAACGTGTCCTCACATTCTGTCAGGTGCTAGGGCAACTGTATGCACAAAGACGTCCAACAAGCTTGGTGTTTCTTTGATCTCAAAATTGTCTTCTATTTTCCATAGAGGCAAATGTTGGTGAAAGGAAGAAGGCCTGCGCTGCGGAGGTGAAACACCAACTTAACAGTTACAGACTACTGAACAGGGGAACAAAACTCTCATATGCATCTTGTTTACAAAACTGAATATCCATCTTCTCCTAGGACGCGTCCTTCTGAACTTTCCTGGATCTTCATTGAATGTTACTCAAATCCAAGCAAATGCTACAAAGCGATTCCACAAATTCCGTCATAGATCTCACTTTTCAAGAGAAGTGTTGCAGATTTACGAGAAGGCACTACTCGCATGCCTCATCAGTAGTATCCCCCGTTATATTGGTAGCTCAAATAGCGTAGATGGTCGTTGGTTTGTTGGCTGAGCTGGGCAATTTGATTGTAAAGTTTCATCACCAGTCGGGGTGACATCATCAATGCGTTATTAGGGAGCGTGGTGGGGCGTTGTGATAGACCGGTGGTTGCGTCTTCTATCTTATCTACAGGCTCGTTCATTTCAGCACACTTGTGCAACAGGGTACAACGAAGAGGATCCTAGATACAATGTGCCCTTTGTGTTTACAAGCGGTAATGTCAAACAAGAATGTCCACTCTCTCTTTTTTTTGTTTAATTCCTTAAATATTTAGGTCAACACTGGAAGGTCTCCAAAACCCGGTGTTCAGATCTCGCAAGTGAGAAGTTTGTCCACTTGGACTATACAAACGATATTTGTCTAGTTTTCGAAAAGAACGGGAAACACAAACTTTACTTGAAAAGCTGACCAATATGTGCTTCGGCATGTACTTCGCACCCACGCAATGCAAAAATCATGCTTTGGAACATAAGCTTTCAAGCATGTCTCTAAGAATTGTAGGAATGAGGATGGAAGTTGTGGAACCCTAAGCGCATCTCGAAAGTTGTATTGGCGATTGTGTTACGCACAAAGTGAACTTAAGAATCTGCCAATTTGAGCCATTTGTGTTGGCAGAAAATTAACCGTTGTGTTTCAAGATAAGCATATATCGGACTACAGTATGTGCAGTGTTTTTGTTAGGTCGCGAAAAATGACCACTTTTGGCGAAGATCTGAAACCACTTCGAGGCTGGGACACCTGATGCTTAATATCTATGGCTGGAATCGAATTCTGGATGAGGTGAAAAGAGACGGCTGTTGTGCTGGAGCAGACAATACCTCATTCAAAGGATGAATGCAGCAATGCAGGCTAGTTTGACTGGGTTACCGTGTGCCTAAAAACGTGTTGTTTTCGTGCCTGATGCGATGTAGCGCAAACATAGTGGTGGACAGAATATGACAAGCCCGAATGGAATGGAGAATTTTGGAGAGGTTCGGGTGGTGTCGCTGCTGTCCGTCTTCTAGGATGGGGTCCATGTGGCCCTCTGTGTGCTTGGCTGGAGACACTGAACGATATGTCGGCTAACCGGTGTCAGTAGAGTTCATGCTGTAAGTATCCATCCATTATGTCCGAGTGAGTATTGAAGGTGCAGTCACCTCGGACAGATGCCTTAGGCTAACCGTAGGTCCTTCTCTATCGCATTTCTCTTCTTTCCACTGTAAGTCTTTCTTCAAATTAATTTACATAGCTGTATATTAGCGAAGCACCGGTGTTTCCCGTTGATGATACTGTCAATGATATTGACGATAATGAATACTGCATGGTAGTTCGATTGATTTCCGCCCTATTTTTTCTGTCGGTTTGTATACTGAATAGTCTGCTGCCTTTGTGGGTATCCAGTCTCATTTCGCAGCCAATCCATCAGCGTTTGGCATCGCATTTAAGTGCTCAGTTGTTTTAAAACTTATTTTTATTTCCCGCTGTTTTTTGTCATGAGTTGAGCGAAATGAGAATGCTCAGTAAAGCATTGATGTGTTTCGTGTGTTTGTATGAGTGCATGTTAACTTTTTTCAATACATTCAAAGTAAATTTCTGGTTCACACCTACCTGGCTGTACTGAACTGACCCCCCATGCCTGCTGGATTTTTCAGAATGTGTATGATGGTAGCTTGTGGCCTCAGCTCAGTTCACTCTGAACGTGCAGAAATTAGACTATTCTGTTCTCTGAGCATTGTCACACTGCTAATTTAAGTTTGAACAAGAGCTTTAATTATTTCCATAAAGGAAACTACTCACAAGATTGCTAAAAACTCTTTTATAAGCCTCGACCGGTTTCGCCCTTCTTGGGGCTCATCAGCTAGGCGCAATCCCCGTCAACCTTCTGTTCTACTTGAACCCAAATTGGACTGTTTTCGAGAAATACACTCATTTTCAAAGAGATTTGGTTTTCACGAGAGCCTCAACTGAATCTCTCGCTTATGATATTCTACAATTGAATGTGCTGCACACAGACTGCCTCATGATAATGTGGGATAATGAAAGTACACTCATTTATCCGTCACCGATGAATTTAAAATCAGCGGTACAAAGTGAATACTGAATAACTTCCTATTATTCTGGCCTCTCACTCCCTTGATAAACAATATCTGGAAGTGGCAAGACTTGACAAGAGCTATATTTTCTCAATCTTACACGATGAATTACCGATTGTTGGCTTACAGCTACCGAACGCGCGAAAACACACCCCATGAGAACTTTCCGACGCAAGCCCGGGCTTCAGAAGTACAGTCACCTGAGCACACTACAACCCAAAAGAGCGATCAGAGTAGAGAGGTCTGCTTCACTTACTTCTATTTCCTGCACTTGTGACTGAAAACCAAGCACTATAGTTCACAAATTGAAAAGCTACAGCTTTAAAACATGAGGGTTACCTTTTTTGACGGGCTGAAAATGAGAAATATATCACATGAAAGTCAGAACACTGACAAATGATTGAATCTCAGTTATCTACTGCTCAATGTAACTTCAAGCACGGTAGATATTTGAGGATGGATCGAAAACCAGACTGAAAAACGTGACGCTGAACTGCGTTGCTGTGATAACCGAATTTCGTCAAACCACTGTGACGAAATAATTGCGCAGTTCTTTCCAAATTAGAAACCCTGCCTGAAAAAATAGATGAAACTAGTGTATGCGCGATAGAGATAGCTGACAGACGAGTCGTGAAAACGTGCCAGAAGTGGACGACATTCGACGCAGTCAAGTGGTTTCTGTATTTTAATAAAGGAAACTGCTCACAAGGTTTCTGAAAACTCTTCGGCACCCTACGACCTGGACTATTGCTATACCGTTCGATAGTGGCTGATGTTACGGTCGGAATATCGTGTCGCAAATCCGGCATTGCTTGAACAAACACCAACGTTTGTCATCGTGATAACCACTTGAAATTTTGTAATCCCTTCCTTCATTAATGGTGTTTAGAAGTCTTGTTCAAATTTTGG